GAGATTTGGAATACCGGAAAGTGGACAAATGACTGGGGTAAACTTGCGTTTATTCCCATATATCAAAAAAGGTTTACCGACAGCTGATTGCAGTAATTACCGCACAGTAGCATTGATATCACACGCGAGCAAAGTACTTCTAACCATCATTAATAAAAGACTAAAATTAATTCTCTTACCACAAATTCCCCAAGAACAATGCGGATTCGTCCCAGGTAGAGAAACAAGAGAACATATTCTTAATATTCGTCAAATTATCGAAAAATCTCGAGAGTGCTTTGTTGACTATTCCAAAGCCTTCGATACCATAAAATGTAATAAAACGTTTCATACACTTAGTGAAATGAGTACTGCAGAACATCTAATCTATTTATTACAAAAATTATAGGTAAATAATACCTGCTAATGTAAGAGTTAATAATGTGATTTCGAAAAACATCAAATTAAAATCTGGAGTTCGACAGGGATGCATAATATGCCCTATTATATTCAATGTGTATAGTGGACATATGCGTTAAGTTGTTGAGGAAAGTGGCAAGGTAAGGTGAAGCAACGATAGAAGGAAGAAAAATTAAAAACCTGCGTTATGCTGAGGACACTGTTATATTGGCGTCATCACGAGAAGAACTGGAACAAATTATGAATAGGCTAGGCACAGTGAGTACGGAATATAGTTTGAAAATAAATATGCAGAAAACCAAAGTGATGATCATCGATAGAATCAGAAACAACCAAGCAGATATAAAAACATGGCAGGTTACGAAGTAGTCAGGCAATTTAATTACTTAGGCTTCTTTATTACTAACAGTGGAGGATGCGAAGACGAGATCCGTCGACGCATGATCGGCAATGGCCAGATCGGCAATAGCTAAACTCTTAAAAATTTGAAAGAACACTGGCATTACAAAAAATACAAAATTACGCCTTGTTCAAGCATTGATATTTCCTATCGCCACATATGCTTTAGGAACTTGGACAATAAAAAAAGCTGATTCAAAGCGTATAATGGCATTTGAAATGTGGATCTACCGTAGAATGTTGCGCATACCATGGACCTCTTATCGTACAAATAACTCAATTCTAGCAGAACTTAACATAAAATTAGACTCATCACAACTATCAACCCAAATATACTGAGACATATAACTAGAAGAAGAGAAGGCATAGAGCAAATGATAGTTGAAGATAACGTAGCGGGTAAAAGATCCAAAGGAAGATCTCCAGTACGATGGTTCCAAAAAGTCTATTTCTTGTTTTCTTTGACAAACATTGAGTACTTCTACTGTTTTTTTATGTGTTTCTTTATATATTATTCCCACTACTAAATAGCAAAATCTTTTACAATGAAACTTTATTAAACTTCTTTTTTATAAGCGTAGGCAGGAGCAAAATTCCGGTCCAATGCTTTTTAAATCCACTCATTTTTTTCGAATCCTTAGAAAAGTAGCAAATTTATTTTTGAAAAATTTAAACGCAGAATGAAAGATTACATTATTATTGAGTTTATTTTAGTAAGTAATAGGGGTGAAAAAGAAGAGAAAATTAGTTGTGATTTTTAATTTTAAATATCTCATTCAAAAGAAACTTTTTATTTATCTAAGGGACTTTCGGCCCTCAGTAATAATGTAAGATTTCATTCTGCGTATAAATTTTTCAAAAATATTTATTAGTTTTTTCAGGATTCGAAAAAAATGAATGCGTTTAAAAAGCATTGGCCCGAAATTTTGCGCCTACGCTCCTAATTTAAATATTATGTTTACATGGGATTAAGCCACGATTTATTGGTTGTAATGAAAATCACATTTTAACCAAAGTTTGACGTTTTGAAATCGTTCTCAAAATATTTATAGAAATTTTGAACAACCTAAGAAAACGACCGAGGATAAAATCCTCAGTCCAAATAAAATGTTATTATCCTATGTACCTAAAAAAAAAATAAAAATGTAGTTCTAATCTCGTCAATGCATTCTATTGGAGACGTAAATCAAATTTCCAATAAACCCGATATAATAGAATTCTACAATATGACAAAGGGGGGAATCGACGTCTTTGATCAGCTCTGTCATTCAAAGACCACCAAAAGAAAATCCAACCGATAACCTTGTGAGGTACTTTTTTGGAGTTCTTGACGCTGCTGCTGTGAATGCTTTTGTAATTTACAAAATAAATGTAGATACACCTGTTTTGAGATCTCAATTTTTAAAAAAACATCGCTCGCCTTATCGGCTACTCACATGGAGCGAAGAATTCAAAATTCTAGAATTCCAATTGCCCTAAAGACGCAAATGTCAATATTGCTGATAAAAAGACCAGGATTGTGTAATTTTTTATTTTGTTTAATCGTTTTTGTTGTTTTTTTGTTCCATTTTATAACTTGGAATATGAAGAATTGTATTACTTTTATTTAATCGTTTATGTACTTCTAATGTATTTTATAAATTGTTTTATATATCAAATAAAAGTATTTTTCACTAAAATTTATTATGAGTTTGGTTATTTAGTTTAGGTACAATTGTCTGTTTTGTACATTAAAGTAAGTTTTCGATATAAAATAGCGATAAAATTAGAATGATGTAGTCATACGATACTATTATAGATATGTCCCAATCATCACCGTGTAGTTCTAGGGTTAAGAAGAAGAAGAAGAAGAAGAATAAGAATAAAATTATACTAAAATTGAAGTTATTGAACTAATTGTATACCTAAGTTAGTGTATGGCTTCTGGAATATTTAATTACTACAGTTGATATGGAATTTTACTTAAGTAAACTTATACTAAAATTGAAGTTATTGAACTAATTGTATACCTAAGTTAGTGTATGGATTCTGGAATATTTAATTACTACAGTTGATATGGAATGAGATAAAATTGTCATTCCATTGTTACTGTCAAACATGGCGTTCGGGGTTAGTGTGGACAAATCATCAGCTATCCACACTAACCCCACAAATGATTATATTTCCAAAAATCATGTGATAAAAATCGCTTTTTTGTTTCAGATGAGGACTTACAGTAGAAAAACGGCGAGAGCTGATATTGATGAAAAAGTTGTAGAGCGTGCAATAAAGGATATCCTAAGAAAAAAAGGAAGCTTGAGAAATATTGCAGAGAAATATGAATTGAAAAAAAGTATGCTTCACAAAAGAGTCATTTCGGCTAAGAGGAACCTTCAAGATGCTAATATACCCTCCAATCTCCACAAGACTGCTACCATTAGCTCCCATTACGCTTTCACCATCAGTAGCAACTACATCAACAGCTGTAATTACTCCTGAGAGCTGCCGCCCTTTTCTAAAAGCAGATCGCTCATCAAACTCCAAAGCAAGAAAAAATAAAAAGTCGACTATTTACACGAACACACCAGTGAAAGATCAGTTGGAAGCTAAAAAAGAGGCTAAAGATTTGAAGGAAAGACGTGCGCAAGAAAGAGCTGAAATGCGAGAAAAGAATAGAGTGAAGAAATCTCTTTCCTATGAACCAAAAAGGAGTAGGAAAGAATCTTCCTCTTCCAATTCTTCTACAGAAGTAATACTTGAATCAGAGGATGAAGGCTGGATGGAAGATATGATGGTCAGGACAACGATATTTTTATGGACAAACAAATGGAGAAAAATGATTTCGTACTTGTAAAATTTATGGGTAAAAAATCGGTAACACACTATGTTGGCCAAATCGTAGATATTCGAGATGTGGAGGTACAAATTAATTTTTTAAGGAAAAAAGTGAATAATTTCGTATTTCCCGAAGTTGAAGATGTCTCAGTTGTCGACAAGAACGATATTGTCGGAATTTTGGAGCACCCAGTAGACACTGGCACGAAAAGGCAAGGAAGATTATTTTCATTTAATATTACTTTCAGTTCTTATAATGTATCGTAGTTTCTTTTTGTTAACATAAAGTTTTCAGTATTCCTGTATATGTTTTACTATGCGTCCACTATAACCCCATACTCTGTCCACTTTAACCCCACCACGGGGTCATTGTGGACAAATTATTGATTCCGATTTGAATCAAAATATTTGTTCTATTAAGAAAGATACAAATAAAATATTCACATCGAAAGTTGAGTTGATGTTTACAGTAAATATGTGAGATAAGTTCAGCAATAAGAATCTTATACATATTTTTTTATTTGCTAATAAGTAAAAATGGTCCACAGTAACCCCCTTCTCCCCTATATTGCCCTAAAGTACTGATTGCAGTATCGTCTGCATACCGTATATCGCCATTCCCTCCATGGTTCGGATCGCTGTTTCGTAATCGTAAGTAATAAAATAAAGTGATGTTTCAACTTCTCCCGCACATACCACTATTTTAGTCTTAGCTGATATGTCTAATATGCAGTAAAATAAACTTTCTTCTTGAGGATATTATTAAAATCTGTATTGTTGGACTGTTTATGTATATTTTAGATATTAAATCTTGGAAAATACTAGATTTTTTATACTGTAGTATTCTATATCATTTTGCTTCTTTAACTAATCTTAAAACACTTTCTGTTTTGATTTTCTGGATCCTAAAATATTAATATACAGTGTTGAGCTATTTTCTTCTCCTTTTTGCCACATTATCTTTATGATTTTACTTTTTAGGTAAAGTTTCATTTTCCATGATCTTGTTTAAACGTTTAAAAACTAGCAGTGAAAGAGCTTACAAAGGCTTACACAGTCTGAATTTTACATCCTTATTAGTGAGCACCTAGTAATAAATACAAAAAGAAAAATAATTCAAATAATGAATATTTTTCATGTTACAAATAGAATGGAGTAATAAGATATATTCTACAATTTTTATGTAATGTAGCAGTACTACTAATTTTTTATAATACAAAATAAATATTTCAAAATATAAAGGATTGCAAATAAATATTATAATTCCTATTTAGGCCCTATTTTTATCCTAAAAACTGCTAAAAACCTACTTATTTAGGCAATTAATATTATTCACAACTGGTTTAAGAGGTTGTCTAACTTTAAACAAAACAAATGATTGAGGTTATGTTAAAATTAAACACACTCCTGTGATTTTTAAACTTAAATATACATGAATTTAAATTTTGTATAAGGAACAACCTTTAACAGACAATGTAATGTCGAATCCAAAATCGGACGAATCTCGCCAGAACTACATCGACCAAAATCCTTTTGATGGTTTAAAAATCGATGACAACTCAATTTTAGGTACTTTAGAAGGTAGACATCCCTGTCCAAAATGTGCAAAATCGAGAAAGTTTTATTGTTATTCATGTTACGTGCCTATCAAGGAACTGGAAGGGAAATTACCTTCTATAAGAGTAAGTTTACCTTATTTTCTATCACCCTTAAACAGTTTTTGTACACTCTAATATAAGACAGTATATTTTGTTTTAGCTACCAATTACAATCGACATAATCAAGCATAAACATGAAATAGATGGTAAAAGTACTGCAGGGCATGCAGCAATTTTGGCTAAAGATTATGTTAATATTTATACCTATCCTGACATTCCAGATTACACAGATCAAAATATTGTACTTATTTTTCCCAGTCAGAAAGCTATTAGTGTGAGCCAGTTGATATCCAATGGACTAGATCAAGATGTGATTGAACAATTCCAAAATGCACCTTTAGATGAATTGCCACAAGGCCATAATAGAAGTACATTAATGAAAAAAATTCCAAAATCTAGAGAAGAGTATGAATTTGGAAATATTGGAAAGTTGCCTATTACAAAAGCAATTTTTATAGATAGTACTTGGAATCAGAGTAAAGGTTTGTGTTGTATTCCTATCATTATTTAAAACACCATTTTATGGATCTCTACTAACAATAAAATTAAAATTGATTATGTCTTTTAAGAAATCTCTTAAATCTAAATTGCTAAGTGAATAACACATGTGCAACTATTTGATGACCTGTTATGAAGTATGTATAAACTGTGTGATAGTAGTTCTTGGACAATATTTAACTTCTCTTCGCATTTTTTTTTCTTATTATATTTTATGCATATATAATTTATATATTTTGTGTATTGTATGAATGTGAAGGAAAAATAAAGACCTTTATTATTATTATTAATATTTTTCAATTATTAGTATCAATGCTACTGAAGCAAGAAATTAAAGAAAAACTGTCTAGTTGTCTGTGATAAACACCACAAAATAATAATAATACTTCCTTTCATTAGGGTAAAGTGGGGTATGAATAGTTGAACAATGATTATATCACCAAGTTAAAAACAGATCAAAACTATAAATTTCTCCATTAACAACTTTATTCATATGAAATCACAAATTAGGACTGCACATGCAATAGATTGCTTACAAATTACACACTGAATCCAACTGTTCACACCCTAGCATACAATCTTCTCTTCTTCTTCAGGTATATTGAAAGTTTGCTTAGAGCTGAACCAAAGAATATTATTTGTCTGTATTCTTTGGCTGAACACTGGTGTGCAATAGTCAATGTCAAATGTTAGATTTATTTTAACTTGCTGACTGCTTTTTTTGCACCTATTGCACCAATCCCAACATATGCAGCAGAGACAAGGACCTATACAAGAAAGACGAAAACATAAATCAACAATGTCGAAATGAAAGTATTAATATCTATAGTGGGCATATCATTAAGAAAATCCACTAGGAAAATATTCCTGCAGCTGGCTGTATACCACGTATCACAAAAAAGAGGTTAGATCTTTGTAAATGGGTATATTTAAAAAACCCTTAAAATGTGTACATTAAATACAACATTCATGTAAACGCTCGTGTTATTTGATGTAGCCCTTTTAAGGGTTTTTTTAAATATACCCATTTACAAAGATCTAACCTCTTTTTTTTATATCATTAAGAGACAGACAAACCAACAGAAGTATACTCGAACAATGTAAAATTTAAAATATTAACACTTGGATAAAAACAAGAACAAAAAACTGGAATGAACATGTAAACCGAATGGGGGACCATATAGATTAGCGAACACCTGTAAAAACAACAAACCGTATAGCAAAAGACCTGTTGAAAGGCCGCCAAAAAGGTGGAAAGATAATGTACAGTCAACAATGACTGAAACAGAATAGGAGGCAGACAAACAGGAGTAATCCTACTCACATGAAGATGAAAAATGTTTTCTTTTAACCTTAATTTATATTTTCTTTTAACTTTATCTTTTAAACTGCCTGTCACTATTAAAGCTTTTATTGTTTTCCTGTTTTCTTGTTCTTTTACAAATATAATCCTTGTTACAATTAATATTTAATAAAACAAACATTATATTAAAAGCTTTTAATCTTTTATGTAAGGGTCATTTATTTATCAAAGGTTCAACTTCCCATTTCTACTACTCTCTTCTTGTTTTTCCTGAATCTCTTCCATCTGTACACATTTAACTGGCTATGAACTGACTCACCTTTACTCTACTTACATTTTAACAATATTACGATTTTAGGCATCTTCAAAGACAAAAGAATAAGCAGTATTCCATGTGTAGTGATTCAGAATAGAATATCCCAATTCTGGAGGCATCAAAAAGGCAGTCCTAGATGGTATTTGGCTACAATAGAAGCTATCCACCAATTTTTGATAGAAATACATCTCCATAGGTGGGGACTCAATCCCAATTATAAAGGAATAAATAATTGTTTTACTGAAAAGTGTTTAGACCAATTTAAGTTGTTATATAATGATAGTGTTGAAGCTTACAATGGACAGTATGATAATTTGCTGTACTTTTTCCAGCATATGTATCAGCTTATACATGAGTATTATAACCACGAAGAACTGTATGCTTACAAAAGAAGGCTATTGTGAAGACATTTACTAAAAGTTTATTAATAAATATTCATATATAGTTTTTCTTGTTTTTTCTTTTTGTAAATGATAAGGGCAATAGAGATATATAGAAACATTTTTAAAAAATACATGTTTGAAATACATGAAAAAAAAATAAAAAAAAAGATTCATGACAAAATAGTAAAAGTAAGAAGTCAATTTTTGAGTTATTTTTTTCTCATTGTGACAATCATTTTATTACCAAATGGACAAAGGTTAAATTTATTACAAGAAGTTTGTTTTACCCCAAACCATTGCCATGAATTAAAAAAAGAATGGTCAAGAGCTGAATTTGTTTCCTTGTTTCAGTCTTGTGCCCTTAGGAAGTGTTTCTAATTTTCTGCTTGTCGTATCCAACTTGCTCATTATTTATACCAGTTTCTCTCTTGAACATGCCTTTGAATTGTATAATTGAAAAACCGTCTAAACCACGTTTTTAGACGGTTTTTCACAAATAACTCAAAAAGTAAGTATTTATCGAAAAAAATTTCCATTAATGGCCAAGCATTGAAATAAGTAGATTTTTTGCAATTCAAGTTTATATACTTTATAAATAAATGCATAATAACAATATTTCACCTAAAATTATAAACAATAATAATTGCAATATACAAAAAAATAATGTTTCGTTAATGAAACTTTGGCAAAATATATGTAGTAAATTGAAAGTTATACGTTTTATAGTGTGTAAATGAAATTTCTTCGTTTTATCAATTAAAAACTAAAGGTATTGCTACAATAGTTAATTATATAAGATAAAGTGATTACTTGCCAGTATAGTAGTATGGCACTAGCGTCATTATGGCATCTGATGTTTTATGGAAACACTAAATCAGTGAGCGTTCAAGTGAACCTTGCAAATTTCGCACATATAAACAGAGTTAGTTTTGCACAGTCTGTTCCGCCGTCTACGCCTTCCTCTTCGCGAACGATAATATGACCAGTCTGGTGTCTGGTATCAGACACTTCTGATACCAGACACTGGTATCAGAAGGTAAACTTTCTTTAGAAGGACGACCCCATCCCGATTTGGATGGCGTTGGCTCTGGGTCTGATTCGGAGTCATCTTCTTCAGCAGCTGTTTTTACTGTAAATCTTTTTTCGTTCTGTATCAGTAACAAAACCAACGAACAACGGAATTGCAATTGGGAGATTCGAGAGTCATTTGCAATGTTGTAAATTCTCCATGAATTTACAACTGTGCAATCCACAAGGTTCATAAACAAGGGCCACCAGCACTTTTTACTTCTTACTCGGATCCTGTAATTTGATACCGAATTATCTAAGAGATCAACATCTCCCATATGTCGGTTATAATCGTTAATCATATTGGGCTGAGGTATTGAATCTTCCTTTCGTAGCTTCCGATTATATCTTTTAACTGTAACAATTGGATGAACCGTTTCATTGTTGCTGGCTACAGTCACAACGGAATTATCGTTCCACCTTACAACTGATACTTCTGCCTTTTTGTCAAAAGCGTGATCAAACTCGCCCCTGTTCTTCTTTCCAAGCACTTTGTTCTTTGTAGAGGACATACTGGCAACCTATTCTCTGTCACGGTGCTAGTAAAGAAAATTCCTTTTTCGCCTAGGATGTGGAATGGCGCAGAACTCGAAAAGAAATCGTCGAAGAAAACTCTATATTCTGAAGGGTTTTGCATTACACATAGCAGATCCAAAACTACTTGCGTCCCTAATGTGTATTGAGATTTCTGGATTTGTGCCACCGTAAGAAATGAATTGGTATAGATATCCCTGAGCTAAAAAGGACCAGACCTTAAAGCCAAAGCGCAGTGGTTTACCCTTCATAAACATTTTTGCAGAATGTCGGCCGAAATAAGAAACCATTTGTTCATCTATAGACATATGGGCAAATAGTCCAAACTGCAAATATCGTTCGTTCATCAGCAAAAATAATGGAGGTATATTGGCAACTTTATCATTTTTGTCTAAGTTATTATTATCGGAGACATGAAGATTTCTTTTTATATTTCGGAAGGTGTTTCGACTCATGCACTTTCCCACGAGCTCCATGCCTTTATCTGGGTCTTTTGACCAATACATATCACACGCCGTAAGTGTATCATAACTGGTAAGGATTAAAATACTAAAAAACTTCTGCAGTTGAGCTGGAAAGAGTTGGAAAACATGTCTGTTGTTGTCCCGGATATACTGAGCGAAGATGTAGGTGTTTGTCCTTACACCTTTGTCCTGATGGCTTTGTTTCGCGCACCAGTAATAGGTCGCTGGTTTTTTCCCTTGGGGAACAAGGTTTTTCCTTAGGGAAATAGGTTCACTTTATATATATATTTCTTTGAAGGACCACCCAGAAAACTGGGAAAAATGAAGATTCGAAAAGAACGTTTGAACAAATATATTTAAACAAATACAATGTATTTTAAACGCCGCTAACTTGCATATGATACACACTTGTCGGTGATACAATATTGACACGAACTATATTGACTGGTTTAAAACACTAATATGCCGCTGGGGCGAGTAGAGCCTGACGCTCCTTCAGTGCTGGAATTTGAACTGATACTGATGGATTTTAACTGCGAACTCATGTCCACTCTCTTCCCTCAATCACAAACATTCCAAAATCTCCCCCCTGACCCCTCGACGTATTAAAAGATATGTTTATTTTTCAAATACCTTTAACTTTCAAATCATTGATAAACTACCTGATAAGGGTATTTGTCTCTACTTGCGGAACTTTGGAATGCGTCAGAGGGTAATTTGGAAAATACTAATCCTTTCATTGTTATAATTCTATGAAGGTTTTAGAAACTTGAGTAGAAAGTTATTTAAATGCAAGATAACGGCGCTTTACAGATTATTAATTATTACAAAGAAATTTTATATATCTAAACTAATATACAGTATGATACAAAAATAAACTAAATAATATGATACAAAACTAGACTAAAAATATTAAGTATTGTTGTTACGCAACATAGTTCCCCCGTTGATGTGACCTACATCTAAATGAGTATGGGGTAAAGGACATACTTTAACAACAGATCTTATAAATGTTCCGTCTTTAGTTCTTAGTTTTACAGTTCTAACCCTGCCGTCTTTACCTGGCAGTGTTTCGATTACTCTTGCCAGTGGCCATTTTAGAGGAGGAGCGTTATCATCGATTAGGAGTACAAGATCATCGACTTTAATGTTTTCTTGGGGCAGAAACCATTTGGGCTTATTTTGGAGGCGATTTAAATAATCCCTAGACCAACATTTCCAGAAATGCTGCTGAATTTTGCTGCATTTCTGCCACAGTGATAAACTATTTTCGGATTTTGTCGAGATATCTTTTTCTGGATAGGAAGTCATGCTGCTTCCAATGAGAAAATGAGCGGGGGTTAGAAAAGAAAAATCATTTGGACTGTCTGACAATGGACAGAGGGGTCGTGAATTTAAAACAGCTTCTATTTGAGCCAAAATAGTGGTTAATTCCTCAAATGTAAAAATATTATTGCCCATCATCCTTACTAAATGATACTTGCAGCTTTTTATAGCTGCTTCCCAAATTCCACCCTGATGTGGAGATCGAGGTGCAATGAACTTCCACTCAATTAATGTTGAGGCTGCGAATTCTTTTATGGTAGGTAGAACATCCGTTCCCATAAAAAAGTCATAAAGCTCTTTTAACTGATTACGAGCTCCAAGAAAGTTGGACGCATTGTCCGAACAGATGGTTTTAGGAATACCTCTGCGTGAAATGAATCTTTTTAACGTTAGTAGGAATGCTTCGGTGCTAAGACTGGACACTAGCTCTATATGGACTGCCTTAGTGACGAGGCATACGAATACTGCTATATAAGCCTTACAAATGGGAGCACGTCGCAGTTTTGAAGATTTTATTTGAAATGGGCCCCCGTAGTCGATGCCGACATTTGTGAATGGTCGAGAGACCTGAAACCGTTCTTTGGGTAGATCGGCCATTATTTGATGAGCTGGTCTTGCGTTAAATCTGTAACAGTTCTTACATTTGTAGATGATCCTCTTGATTTCTCTTAGTCCATCAAGAGGCCAATAAGTGAGTCTAATATTTGACAATGTATTTTGAGGGCCTGTGTGCAATAGGCGAATGTGTTCTCTTTCAAGTAACGATCTAACTACCTGGCATTTTGTAGGAAGAAGAAGTGGAAATTTTTGATTATACGAAACATTTGCATTGCGAAGTCGTCCACCAACTCTTATTAAATCAGATGCGTCTATAAATGGATTCAATTTTAAGATAGCCTTATTTTTTATTGTTTTTTGATGCTTTAAGTCTTTAAATTCTGATTGAAAGAATGTTAGTTGAATGATTTTAACTATTCTCTGCTCGGCTTCTATTAATTCGGAAGCCGAAAGTACACCATTTCTTTTGTTTTCTTTATTTTTAAGATTGTAAACATACCTATTGCAATATGCAATTACTCTTTGTAACCGAGTGAAAGATGAGAATTTACAAAAAGTTGTATATAGAGTAGGTTTCGAATTATTTACAGCGTGTAAAGTGGCTTTTATTTCAGGGATATCTGTTATATTAATATTTGGAACAAATTCGTTAAATTTAGTGGTTCCGTTCATTAGAAAATGGGGCCCATGCCACCATAATGTATTGTCTACCAGCAGGGCTGGTGTGGTACCGCGAGACAGAATATCTGCTGGGTTATCTTTAGAACTTACGTGATTCCATAAATAAGTTCGCGTTAACTCCTGTATTTGAGTTATACGGTTTGCTACGAAGATTGACCAACGAGAAGGGTGAGAATTTATCCATGCAAGTACAATTTGGGAGTCTGTCCAGAGCCTAACCGAAGCTATGGAAGAAACCTTTGGTGAAATAATAAGAAAGATATTTGAAATCAGGGTAGAAAGCAAAACAGCCCCTAATAATTCAAGTCTGGGTAGGGAAATGGTTTTTAGCGGAGCTACACGACTCTTTGAAGTAATTAAGTTGCATGAAACGATTCCATTTTCATGTAAAACCCGTAAATAAATACAAGCGCCATATGCCTTCAT